TTTGGTTAATCGTCCAGTCTGTGAAGAAGGCATTCAAGTAAGAATTGCATTGTAGTATGACTCATTTCCTGGCGCGTACAATTTATAATAGGTCAGCGTTCACGGTTCGACTTCTGATATTCAGATCGAGTTCTAGGTCAAACTGGTTTGTTCGACTTTCAAGAAATTCGAGTTCTAGTGAGTGCGAGAACCGAGGTATCACTGTATAGGTAAAAGAAAATCAGTAAATATACCGTACTCTATTCAGGATGACATGATCCATGTTTCTACTGAATTGATTCTTGATTCAGAAAGTGTGATGTAAATTACTGATTGAAATGAGTGTTGACAAATCTGTTTGTATTGTGATTAACATGTTACATGCAAATGAAACTGAAAGAAAAATAATTTTACTCAGTAAAAGTTTTTGAAGGGGAAACATCGCTGGTGATTGTTAGTTTTTTTCCTCTCCCCTTTATTCAGGATGGCAACATTTATGTGCTTTGCCTACAATAAACCCCTCGTTTTGGATTTCCGTCTGTCTCACCCTGATTCCCCGCTGCCTGCTCGCTCGCCCTGCGCACGGCCATTACACTCTCTGGTCCTCAGTGTATTTATATGAAATTGTGTTTTATATTTTTTGTTTAAATAAAAAAAAATGTTTGCATGACTGACTTTTAGCAGGTATTATTTTCACAATATATTACATTTTTATTATTCATTGTCAAAAATAACAGAATTATTCAGAAAGATTTTATGCATTCAGGCACAATGCAATCAATCCAAATGTGAGCCATTTGTAAAGGCAAATAAAGTAATCAGTCTAATTTCTGTTGGGTGTGTCTTTCTTTCAATGCTCCCACAGAAGCACGTGAAGCAGCACTTTGCTCAGTGTCTGGTGCTGTTTTCCATCCCTTTAATGTCTTTCTAAGAGCAGGGACTTCGGTGTGGACAGCAGGGACATGTCCCTATCAAACTGTAGGAGTATGTGTGTGTTTAGGGGGGCAGGGGGTTGGGAGCTGATTTAGCCCCCACCAATGCTGAAACCAAACCTATTCCCTTGCATCTTCCCTTTATCCTTTATCTTAAGATGCTGAGAGTTTCAGTTTCAGAATGATTAATTTTCTAAATTTATTTTTATACAGCACCTTTCGAAACGCATTTGCTTATGCTCAATGTGCATTTAAAAGTGAAGTATAGGCCTATTTTCGGTTAGTACTCCATGCAAAAGTAAAGGTTCCGTTTTTTCAGTGTAATTAACAGCTTAACAGATACCCAGAACATAACCCGATTAGTCTGTCTCCGTTATATTCCTTTCCAAATATGCCCAGTATGACGACCACCATAGTGCAGCACCAACTCCGCTGGACAGGCCTTGTCACCCGCATGTCACCCGCATGTCACCCGCATGTCACCCGTCTACCTAAGCAGATTTTGTTCTCAGCTAAAAGAAGGTCAGCGTGCCCCCGGAGGGCCAAAGAAACGCTTCAAAGACAACATCAAGGCAAATTTTAAAAAGTTCAACATAACGCTGAGTAACTGGGAGGATCTGGCTATGGACAGACTCTGCTGGAGAAAAGCAGTTCAGGAAGGTGCGGCTTCACCACGAAACTGAACTCCACCGCGCCGCAGAAGTAAAGCGATGAATCCGAAAGGATCTAAAGAAAAAGGCTCCATCATTACTCACCATCTCTACTTTCCCCCCTGCCCACACTGCACCGAAATATGTGGATCGCGGATTGGCCTCTACAGCATGGTTCGAATTACGGGGGGTACTGTACCCCGATCAAGACCCAGCCCCCCCCCCAAAGAGACAAAAATAGCAGTTTTGGGGGGAGATGAACTCATTATGTTTTCATTCTCATTTTATCATGAATAAATTGTGCCTTTCTGAAATTAATTCACCACTTAGCCTGTGTGGTTTGTTATTAGGCTAATATTAATGCATAAGAAGGTCTAACGTCATGCTCTGAAAAAACATTACTATAAGTGAAACCTATAGGGGCAACGTAAAAAAAAAACTAGCTAGCAAATAATAAGCCCTATTATTTGAATTTTAGTGGTATTGATTCTGCATTCCATAATTTCATATTTATGGACATTTTTAGAAGCTTCATCTAATAGCCCAGATACTGTTTTGTTAAACATAGATTAGATTTTATTCACAAACACATTATGAGGAAAAGGAAAGATGAGATCAGACCTTTTTTTGGTGGTAAAAGAAGAATAAGTAGGAAGTATTAGTGTTAAGTGCTACAGAACATTACACTAAAAGTATAGGTGCAGTTTTGCAAACTGTTAATGTGCATGAAGGAAAGTGGTGGTTATTGATTATTTTTAAAATGCTAATAAAAATTTCCAAATTTCCTACTTGAAGTCAGTCTTGTCTGTAAGTCAAATGCCCCATCTTATTACTTATCTTGGCTAGGATCATCAATCTACATACATGTAAGGATGTTCATGTAAATGTTTGTTTTTTCTTCCAGTTTCTGCCTCTAGGTGGCAGCAGAGTAATTCAGATTACAGCATTACAGTCACATGACAGCTGGGCCTACTCGTGGTGAGTGGACTGTAAATATTCTCTCTGCTGCATTTCTCCTCTCATTCTCTCTCTCTCTCTCTCTCTCTCTCTCTCTCTCTCTCTCCCTTTTTCCATCACTCTTCATTCATTCATTTCCTCTCTGTCTCACTTTTTTTCCGCTAACAGCCACATTTTACAGCAGCTGTGTAAGAGGCCACGCTGTGACAAAATATCTGGCATGTCCTTGGTGCGCCCCCCCTCCGGCTGCAGGCGCCCGGGAGCGGAGGGGGTCCTGGACGAGATCCGTGTTGCCCTGCTGGAGTGCAAGGTGTGCTTCGAGAGCTTCAGCGTGCGACAGAGGGAACGGAGGCCCCGCAATCTGCTCTGCGGCCATGTTCTGTGTGCAGCTTGCGTTGGCGCCCTCTCGAATCCCGTCCTGCGGACCCTGGAGTGCCCCTTCTGCAGAAAGGCGTGCAGCGTGTGCCACACGTCGGACTGCCTTCCCCTCGCCGACCTCTCAGAGCTGCTGCACAGGAGCTCGGCCCCCTCCCCCCCCCCTCCCGTGAGCAGAGATGCCTCCAGGCCTGGGGGGCTGGCTGCGGGGGCCCTGCGCCTACATTCTGCCTTTGGGGGGTGGGGAAAGCTGGTGAACCCCACTGGGGTCGCCGTCTCTGAGGCAGAGGGGGCCATCGTGGTGGTGCACGACGGCCAACGACGAGTGGTACTTTTCAGAGCCTGGGGCGAGGAGCTGCACAAGTTCGGTCAGAAAGCAGGTTCCGCTGAGGGGATACTCCACCCCCTGGATGTGGCAGTGGTGCCTGACGGGCACGTGGTGGTGACTGACGGCGGAGACGGTGCTGTGAAGGTGTTCACGCCGGAGGGATGCCCCGTGGTGACAGTGCGGGATTCCTTCCGGCTGCCGTGGGGCGTGACTGTAGACAGGAGGGGTCACATCCTGGTGACGGATGCCGAGGGAGACACGCTCTCTCAGCTAGCGGTGGACTTCACCCGCAGCCGGACCGTGCTGAATCGGGTGGCTTGTGCTGACCTGCAGTGTCCCAGATCGGTGGCTTGCTGTCCGGCTACAGGGAGGGTGGTGGTGTTGGAGCACATGGGGGACCCGGCGGACGGGCGGAGAGGCCGCAGGCCTGCGCGATTCAGCCTCTTCAGCAGAGAGCTCGTTCTCCTCTCGAGGATCGACAGCTTCGGCCTCAGCCTCGCATCTCCGCCGCGTCTTCGTATCTCCGCCGTGGCTTTCGACTTGCATGGGAACGTGATCGTGGCAGATGTGGAACAGGCGTCGATTTGGAGTTTGGGGACGTCTCAGGGTTCGCCACCCCTCATCCCCCTGGTCAGCGAGGGTCTGCTGTGTCCCCTGGGACTGGCGGTCACTTCCCAGAACATGCTGGTCGTCTTAGACAGCGGCGACCATACGGTGAAAATTTTCTCAGCTAGCTCTGACCCCATCTCCCCCCAACAATGACAGAACCCTACGATGCTGCATGTGGGCTTGATGTTTGGGCAAATCTCCAGCCTCCTCACTCAGGTGCACCTCACATCTACAGCACTGATTCTGTTCCGTACACTGGAATTGTTGGTATGTTTTAATTCAGCCGGTCACTTGTCTAATGTACGATGCTATTCCACTGCTTCCACCAGTAGATGTGTTTCTAATGCATCTCCTAATGATACTCTGCTCTCCCAGGCATATCTGCTAAACACCTGAGGAAGTCCAGGTACATCAGTGCTGTGGAAAGCAGGTCAGCAGCCGTCCATAATTAATCGAATGAAAATGTCACAGGAAAATCAATGTACAATGCTATGGTTGCATAATAGTGTTAAAATGTGTGGGTTATTATTTAAAAATAAAATTAAAGTGGCTAATATAACAGAAATGTCTATGCACATTTGTCTAATAGTACATTGTGTGCTCTTACCTAATGTCTTACTTATTATGAGTTTGCATATGACTGAATGTTCCCTGAGTGGCAGTTATTTCCTGTGATGGTGACGTCACAGCTGGATGTTTGTAGTACTTAATGACACCATGGTGATAAGTAGCCATTAAAGTATTACATCAGTACAGAAAAATGTTAGATGACGATGTTAGAATGCAGGTCACCTGAAGGCCTTGTATGATATGTTCAAATATCGCTCAATTTTCCTGCGGTTTTATTTACTTTCTACATCTTTTTAAAATACATCCGCCTGTTTCATGTTTGCCGTGTTAATGACCCCCAGTCCAGGTAAATCCTTTCTCCCCCCACATGCCCTGTACTGTTGCAGTTTACCTGCACAAGGTTTATCTTCTGCTTACCTGGGATATTTCAGATTGCAATGTTTCTTCCTGGAAGGCTGCTGCCTGAGTCATCCGCTTCACCTGATCTTCTAGATGTTCCTATTTTGACACTGCAAAATGAAAGAGTGGATTGGAAAAACTAGATGTTCTGACATATACAAACGTTTACATTAACTGTATGGAAATATTGTTTAAATACAAATGTCCCTGAGTAATTTTTACTATTGCTGAGGTCAGGCTCAGAGAAAAATAACACCTTAAATATTTTCTCTAGTTATAACACAAGCAAATTTAGTGAAACAATTTTGAATGTGAGCACAAAATGTTGGATTACAATCTTAATATTGCATTCCAGCTGATGAACCAGGCATGAGGCGATATATATGTTGTGTACTTCATTCGTCTTTCAAAGTAGGATATATTCATCCATATCTGTCTGATTGTCCAGTAGAGGGTTTCAGAGCAGTATGAGGTATTTCCCACATGTAAATCAGGCCTGGCAAACCGGAAGTGAAGGTCTGCATGGGGCATTACACCATCTTTAAGGGGATCGGAGTAACCCAGGGATGTGTTTGCTCCTCACTGGCTTCACCCCCTACATACTAACAGCTGCTCCTCAAAGAACACATCTGTGAAACCTCACAGATTTACAGCTGACACCAGCTGACGAGTCGGCCTCAACTCCAACAATGACGAGTCGGCCTCAACTCCAACAATGACGAGTCGGCCTCAACTCCAACAATGACGAGTCGGCCTCAACTCCAACAATGACGAGTCGGCCTCAACTCCAACAATGACGAGTCGGCCTTCAGGGAGGAAGGGAGCTATCTTGTGTCCTGGTGCAGCCACCATAGCCTGGAATTTAACACTCTCAGAACTAAAATGTTTATTAGTGATCCCTTTTCAGTAAACCCCCTCCTCTAGAAGGGGCAGGGGGCCAAGACCTGAAATTCAAGGCCCCCTGCAGGGTTTCTTCCTCCAGGTTATAGCTGTTGTGTTCAGGTCACCTTCTCCAGCTCCTCGATGCTGAACAGTCCCTGATCTGCACGCTGCTCTTTACCTGCCTTTTACTCGACGCTCAAAGCTGCCCCCACCGCACCCAGCCGCTCACCTTCTCCTTCACAAGATGCTCCTCACCACCAACCATCATGTAACTCTATGTAGCTACTTGCATATATGTATATTCTTAACCATATTATTTTATTTATTTGTTTGCATACCCTAAGAACGCCTTTTTTCATGTTTATGTGCACTTGTATGTTAGATCCTAAGTGAAACCAGGACAAAATTTGTTGCGCAAATCTCCAGGTTATGAAAAAGATGATCCATTCCCCAAGTTTGTCTTTAAGTCAAATTTGTGGGGAAGTTGGAAAAATATTAGTACAGCACAAAATAACAATGATTATTATGTAGTAGCTTAACAGTTAAAGTAAGTATAGACAGTACTGTACTGTACCTCGAGCCAAGGAACTGCTGAAGCCTTGGAATGCTTTCATGAGTGTCATAAAGTAGCGTTTGCTTTCATTGTAACAAACCATGGTATTTATCCTGAATTTTTAAAATAACCTTTATGGTAGTCTGTTCTTAAGTATGAGTTGTTTGTAAGTTGGCTGTTCTTAACCTAGGGACTGCCTGTTCTGTCTCACGTGCTTGAGAAATCGAAGTAAGCGTAGTTCTTTAATACCAGTGGCAACAGAATGTGTGAGCTGGCTGGAGCAATAATTGCTTTTAGTCCTCATATGTTGTCATTATGTCACAGTAACTCTTTGTTAATGTTACACATCCAACAAGGGGTACAGTCTTCTGTTCTGCTTCACCACACAATTTATGTCTGGTTGTCAAAACAAGCCATGGTCCTCAAGGACACACCAGACCTTAACCTTGTACGGTATCTGGCTTATGACATTAGCAATCTGTTATCCATATCCAGTCATGTTTGTTTTTCTTATTTTGTTTAACTCTGATCGTTCAGCTCATTCAAATTTTCCTATTCTTACTTTAAGGAGGGACACCTGACCTGTGATCAGAAACCCTGGACCCAGGCTTGAGCCCAACATAGGGGGCATTTAGACGAACAGCAGTATCAGCAGTGAGGGTTTGGTCATGTGGATTTGGACACGTGATCTGCTCATGCTCATTGATTGTATTGCGTTAAACAAGCTGTTTTTCTCATTCACTCCATCACTCTTGTCTGGTACATTCAGGTTGTACTTTTAAAGTATCTTCTCCTCTCCTGTCCTTCTGTATTCCTGCAGAGAAGTGGGGTTCAGGCCCAGAAAGAAAAAATCCAGACCATGATTTTGTTTCAACCAACCAATTGAATACTTTGTAACTGTTTATGCTCAATAGATTGGTTGAAACAAAATCATAGTTTTTACTTTCTGGACCTGAAATGTCCACTGCAGTCAGTAGGTGCAGCTCCTGGAACAGCAGGTGGCACTAGACCACCACTGTGAATTGATAAGCTTGCTGTTGCATGTATATATTGTGTAGACTGTGTTGGATCTTTTGAGAAAATAGAAGGTTTGGAGGAGTCCTATAGCATTTGAATAATGTTCAATTAAATTCAATTGTGTGTATATATACTGTATAATTGTATATATATAAGCCCATCCTCCTTGGGTTGGTACAAGTATAAAGACAATCTTGATGATATGCCTGATATTTTAGTTATATAGTTTTTACTTAAAGAATTTTGTATAATATCAAGATTTCCTTTTGTGCATAAACAGAATTTTTAGAGCTGAAGTTAATGTTGTTGTCTCAGGGCGCCCTCTGCTGGAATGGAGGTTCATCTTTCAGCTTGGGCTTGGAAAAATATCCCATTTTTACCCTGATATTTGTAGAAAATCTTGCCAAGTTAGCACTGCTTGGAGCCAGTCTGGAGAGCAGGTAGACCATGCTGGGTTTTTGGGAAAAGCCAACAGTCGGTACGTTTGGACATGTGCCCTATATATTAATTTCCAGACTTTTTAATGCATCACTGGGTCTATGTCTACATTTATGTTTTAAGGTAACGGCTAAATAAACTACATAGTTTGCTGATATATATATGTCTTATGAAAGCTTAGAGAAATATCCATCCATCCATCCATCCATTATCTCCCGCTTATCCGACGTCGGGTCGCGGGGGCAGCAGTCTCAGCAGGGAAACCCAGACTTCCCTCTCCCCAGCCACTTCATCCAGCTCCTCCGGGG